TGCGTACTTCACCAATCTCATGCGTGATGGGACAAATTTAAATGTTGAGGTTATAATCTTCACCAATATCTCCTCAAGTAGAATTCACCACCAAAAAATGAGGTGGCAATTTTACAGTAGAGGAAGACATTATGATATTCTCGGCGTGACTTAATATTAGTTTGGATGATGTGCAAGGAAATGAGCAAAAATCAAAGACATATTGGCAAAGGATTTGCGAGTTCTTCTACAAATACAAACCTAAGGCATCCCTTAGTCGTAGTCAAAATTCTTTGATGAATTGTTGGTCGAAAATTCAGCTAGCCACCAACATATTTTGTGGGTGCTTTGCACAAATAGAAAGACTGAATCAAAGTGGCTTGACAGAAAAAGACAAGGTATGAGTGAATATTTTCTTACAAAATAGTGTACTTTTAATGACATGATAATGAGTTTTGTTGTAAAATTTTTTATATTAGTGATGCCAAGAACTTGTACAAAGAACTCGATAAATCTTCTTTTCAATTTGAACATTGTTGGAATAAGTTAAGGTATCAACCAAAATGAATGGAGGATTCTAAAGCAAAGAAGTAAAAAAGAAAACATAATGCAACTCCTGCCAGCTCCATGCCTTCTACAGCGGACTTCGTAAATTTAGGAAATGACGGTGGGTCATATGGATCCTTAGACAGACCACCTGGAAGGAAAGCTGAGAAAGTACGACTACGAAAATCAAAGAGCAAAGAAGTTAGACGTGATGCAACAAGTTCTGAACTCGTTAATTTGTTAGCAGATACGAAGGAAGAGAAAATGATAAGTAATGAGAAGAAATTTGAAATGTTTGAAAAATGTTATCTTCAAGAACAACAACGTCTACTGCAAGAGAAAGAGAGAATGCAAATGGAGCAAATAAGAGAGGAAGAACGAATAATGTCGATGAATATGAGTTGCATGCCTCCGTTGCAAGCTGAATATTATCAGCACCGCCAAATGAAAATCTTGGGGAAGAAGATATAGTTATTTTTTATTAATAGACAAACAACTTTAAGTAGTAGTAATGATGGTACAAGTACTATAATAACATTTGCTTAAGTTGCGGCTAGTAGTTTTCATGCATATTCCACTAATGCTCAACCAAATCAGCTTGGAGTTTGGAATGACTTTCTTTATCTCTAATGCACTGTTGAGTATTAATAAATTAAACCAGTTCTGAACTCTGCTCAGGTATGACTGTGGCAGTGGGACTTTCATCCATTGTATCATAACTAAACTCCAACTCATTAGCGTTCCACTCATCATCGACAATCATGTTATGTAATATTATGCATGCCTTCATAATATCCTTAAGCACTTCAACTGTCCAGAAACATGCTGATCCACGCTCTATAGCAAATCGTGCGTGGAGCACTCCAAATGCTCACTCAACATCCTTTCTTGCTGACTCTTGAGATTTTACAAAATGTATTTGTCTATTGCCTCTTGGAGATGGAATTATTTTGACAAATGTTGTCCATTTTGGATATATACCATTAGTAAGGTAATATCCCATTGTATAATCGTTTCCATTGACTAAGAAATTGATTGGTGGAGCCCGACTTTCTGAAAGGAGAGCAAAAACAAAAGAGCGTTCTACTATGTATAAATCATTATGAGATCAAGGTAACCAAAAAAAGGCATGTCAAATTCAGAGATCATATGAAGTCATCGCCTCCAAAATAATTGTTGGTTCATGGATGTGATTAGAATATATACCTTTCTATGGTGTTGGACAATTGTTCCATTCCCAATGCATATAATTAATGCTACCCAACATCACAGGAAATTCACGATTGGTACCCATTGTTAATAATCTAGCAATGTCATCGTTGTTTGGTGACTTGAGGTATTCATTGAAAAAAATTGCTACTACTGCTTTCACAAATCATTTCAAACTTTTTATTGCAGTGCTTTCGTCAATTCTCACATTATTATCAACAACATCTGTTGCAACTCCATAAGCAAGCATCGTTATGGCGGCTATCATCTTTTGAGGGGAAGACAATCTAGTAATTCCAGTAGCATCTTTTTTTTGGACAAAATATGGATCATAATTTTCTACCCTAGATAGAATACGAAGGAAAAGAGCTCAATTCATTTGAAATCTTCTTTGAAATAAATTTTGAGAATAGATAGGCGGTTCAACAAAATAATCACGATACAGTCTCTCATGCCCTTGAACTCGATTGCAAAAAATAACTAAATGCTATTGAATGGAACCACGACGTACACCAGAGCTTTCTTCGCTGTTGAGTTTGTTCGTTTCGATAACACAAATTGTTACAATCTCTAATTCATCATCGGAGTCAAAATCGTTAAAACTTATCTTCATTGCAGGATGGCAAGCCATAACATAACACAAAGAAGATTGCAATACCAATAAATAGATTTGAAGTGTATGACAATGAGAGGTGGAAGATCCTATTTATACATATCCAAAAATATGACCGTTGTAAATATGACCGTTGCAAATATGACCGTTACAAATATAACTGTTATGACCGTTGAAAAATTCAAAATTCAAAATTTTGAATTTCGTGACCATTATAAATATGACCGTTATTAATAAAAATTTAAAATTTAAAATTTTGATGACGTGGTGTAACACGTCAGTATGTGATGTCATCAATAAGGTGATGACATGACATATTACATAGTATTTTAGATTTTAATAATTAATAGTTAGTTATAATTAGTTAAAGTAGTTAACTAAAATAAATAGCGTGGTTGAAATAAATTTGAAAAAATGGTTACATAAAGTAGATAGTGTAATAAAAAAAATAGTTTTGCTAACTAATTTAGATAACCTCCTTGGAGTTGCTCTAAAGATAAGACACAATTATTGGATGTGAGTACTGTACCTGCATCTATCTTAGTTATTGATTTTGAATCAAATCATCTGTAATCTTTTAATTAAAAATGAAAAAAATAATAAAATATAAAAACTATTATACATGGACTTAAAAAATAAAAAGAGCAATGATACATGAACTTAAAAAATAAATTTAAAAATTAGATTTAATAATTAAAATAATTGATTCACTGTGAGTCTCAGCATTTATTGAGACCCATTACTTATTCAATAGTTGAGATTATTAAATTTTATTCAATGGTTGAGATTATTAAATTTAATTTTTAAATATAGTATTACTCAATAAAAAGTAAAAGTATGATGCCGTACCGTAATAGCCAAAACCCTTAACCAATTGAATCAACCATTTTCAGTTGGACTAAATTGACCAGTTACGAAGGTTTAGGGCTTTAGCGTCCAAATTAAAAGCACGACGACCAAAATGATAGCAACCCGAAACTTAGAGGGCTATAAATTATCAAATTGTAGCTCGAAGATTTTGAATCCAGTTTGAGGTTCATTCAGGAATTTATGCTCTTCCGGAACGACCTTACCCCGCATTAAGAAACTTGGACGCAAGTGTTTCTCTAGTTTGGCAGTAAATATTGGTACCCGTTACTCATTTTTGAAACAAACCTAGTTATACTAGTATAGCGATTAACCACCGAACTCCAATGTACACTCAAAGACTCGAACTTTCAACTTCAAGGTGAAAAGTTTGGCCAATATCCCGTTGGCCCATCCTATTCTATTGTACGTACCTATATTTTATTAGTTAATGATATCACGTATTAGTGATAACATAGTATTACCCTTTTAATGATTATTTTCTGGGGAAACAGCTCATTTCTTAATGAACTATCTTGGAGTGCTGGCTAGTTGAGAATGGGCCAACTGATTTTGGGACAGGATGGATCTTAACTGAGTGGGTTGGGTTATAATTTTTGGCAATGGCCTATTCCACAACAACACCTGGGCGGGCCTCATTCAACAATCCCTCTCCAACAGATTCATTTTAGTCGGGTACCATGGTGAAATGGTACGTCAGTTATATACATACAATAGGGCAGGCAAATTTTTTTAGTATGGCAATATTTGTTTGTTTTAACTTTTTGTTGATCTGGAAAGAGTTTGGTGTAGCCAAGGGCACAGCCAAATACTGGTTCCCTCTTTTAGACCTAAAATTTCACCATCATATCGAAACAATTGGGTGTCACATGTATTTAATCAACTAAGCTTGCTCTACTTAAATTCATGATCGAAGAAATAAGAATCTCAGTTAGACCTAATCACCAAGGACCCCACCTTCCAAATCTTCCAACCTAATATGTTGAATAAGGATATAACCTTTGACTAGATCTTACAAAATTTAATATGCTCCGATTACTCTATTCGAATCAGCACAAAATTAGTAATTTGAGTTTAATATTAAAGGGTTCTAGTGATAAGCGGGTGGATCCGCTGTACACGCATTATAAACGAGTTATTTTCGAGTAGAGTATACATTAATTTATTTACTCGTTTAATAAATTGATATATTACTTGATTATTTGTTTATGACATGCTTACCCATTTATTATTGGATTACATGTTTAATAGATTACCCATTTCGTTGTAGAATCAATACTTTTTTGTACTATAAAATTAGTGGGTCAAATGGAAATGAGTTATATTTGGTGATTTTTGATATGAACTCTCTAAAATTCAACACAAACTCACATAACTTGATACGATTGACCTCCCGAAGATGAGGATGCTACTTGGGCTATCTCGTATCAGTGAAGTCCAATATTTTAAGATAACCTTAATGGATAAAATCATGTACGATGATGTTAAAAAGTGTTGTTTACTTTTTCTATGTAAACAAATTGTAGGATCCTATTCTTTTAACTATGACAAATGGTAGGATCCTATTCTTAATTAAGCTCCATTATAAGTTTTCTTTATGTAATTTGAACACTATAAACACTAATGATGAGTTAACATGAGGTAATATGTATAAAGTCTCTTCATGCTATAGTTCTACCTTATGTTATTGTTATCAAATAAGTCAAACCGATAATCAAAATACATAACAACAAATAAACTTTTAAAATGATATCGAAAATTTATTTTTTGATGTTGTCATATACCTGTCGAATGATGGAATAAACGTACTTACATGTGTGAATGTGCAACAATGGATCAATTATTTAAAGTCAAATACATCTCACGATAGCTACAAGATTAACAATAAATCACATCATGGGATCCCCTTTACAATAGATCCATCGTTTATGTCATTCCTTTGCCTAAAAACAAGTGGGCCCATATGCTATGAGGCTCTCCTCCTCACTTTGAGTGTACCATGTGCCACCTTTTTATTCCGCTGCATGTGTTGTAGCTTTGCCTTTGAACAATGTTACATGAAATTAAAAAGTAGACTTAAACTTAATAATCTCAACTATTAATTTCACTGTACGTCCCAACATTTATTGGGACCCACTACCTATTCAATAGTTGAGATTATTTAGTATAATTTTTAAATCTAATTTTTAAGTCTATGTAACATCACTCTTTGCCTTTTTATTAAGCCCAAATCCCTCGTAGATAAACCCTAATTAAAGAGATAAAGAGAAACTAAAGGCTAAAGCTACCCTTGTCTCTATCTTCATGTTCCTTGCTTTGTCTTTGCTCTTTCAACTTTCATTGTTCATGAAATCAGAGCGCTACAGCCATCTTTACCTTTCTTTCATGGATTCCAATTCTGCCATATCCTTGTCACCCACATGCTGTTACTTTGATTTGTGGGACCCCATCTTTCATTTTCTAAGGAAAATTACACTTTGACCCTATAAATATGACCTCAAACTCACTTTGCCCCTTGAACTATTGAATTTCTTACATTCTATCTTCAACTAGGATAATTTGTTTCACATTGCTTCAAGTGTGCTAACATCAGTTATAGAGAGAAGATGCTCTTGTATCACGCAAAGTGATACAAAATCATATAGGTCAGAGGTTATTTTTGACAAAGGTTCAACGTAAGAACCGTGATAGTCGAGGCAATGTGAGACGGGGGCCATAGTTGAGGGATCAAAGTGTATTTGTCCTTTTTTTTTGTTAGTATTTACAAAAGGGTGTCTAGGAATATTCAGATATACATGGAGTCATGCACATTCATGATCCAGTCATCAAGCAATATGAATAGTGGGTCAGTGTGCAGGGAAGAAAAGTGGTGAAGAATCTCTGTGTAGTTTCCCATCAGAAACTTTCACTTTGTTCATCTTGCCTTCACACCATTGCAGTTGGTCTTCACTTAGGTCAGTCATCCTCAAAACCCTAGAAACCACTTTAATGTCAATAAGGGCCAACAAAATCTCCATCTCGTCCTCTTCCTTCAACCTTCTTTTCGTGAAGCATTTCCAAGGACGGCGAAGATCTTTAATCTTCAATTTCTTCTGCACAGACATTGGTGTAAACAGCAAAAATGTGATTTTAGCTGATATAATGAAAAAAAGGATGACCAAGTGAACGAGACTCAATGTGTCCTCAATGTGTCATTTTTAAATAGTTCAAAAGAGGAATGAACGGACCTTTTTGTTAACTTTCTTTAGTTGGAGGAAACGGATAGGATCGACTGAACCTCTTCGGTTTCTCCTGAAGAAAGCTGCCAATATTTGGCAGTGATTCTCCCTATCTGCCTTGAGGAAATTCATGAATGTTCTGATTGCTTCCTCCATGATTTGAACAAAGGAATTAGATGAAATTCTGGACCCAAGTCCTTCCTCTCTTTTTTCGTCCTCTGAATCTACAATAAAAAAGACAAGAATAACCATGACATTTTTCATCTTGATAATAGAAATTTGGCCTAGACTATGGTATTGGATAATTATTATTCATTACGTTATTTTTATGTTTTGTCCAATCACAAAATAGTATGTGAAAGATTTTATTATTTTATTAATAAATTGTATTATTTTAACGCCATTGACCATAGACAACACAAACCAAAAGATTCATGTCATTTTTTGGTATTATACTGTAATTAATCTGGATATCATAGCTTTATCCATATTAAGTCGCTTGAAAATATTGTCTCTTAGATTAGTCTTACCTATACACTAAGCCCTATTAATCAAAAAGGAAAGACTATGGTACCAACTAAAAATTTGAGAAAATCACTTCTCAATCAGCTCAAAATTATGACTGATCGCAGTTGTAAATTTGAGATCGGGGACTTATCTCTAGAAATATATTAAGTAAAACTTCTTTTAATAGTACCCTATTAATGAAAACAGATGGTTTAAGTACACTTAGAAGCATAATTAAACTCATTCCCAAATGAGAAAGCGAAAAGTTCATAGTTTGAGTACCTCGATATTCAGGCACTTGAAGCAACTTAGGCGCCAAACTCCTTATTCTAGCATAGACCTCTGGTCTTCGCCCATGCCGATAAGGCTCATTCTCTACATATCTCTGCAGAAGAACATGGAACTGTTGAAACTGCTGAGCAATACCAGCAGGACATCCCGGGTCCGAGTCGTGATGCGAAGCTCTCAGACGTTGGAAATACTTGTAGTTCCAATTCAGAGCTTCCCATGTCAAGCAGATTTGAGCTACATAGGCAGCTTCCAGTTCAAGGTATGGGTTTTGATGGAAATCTGATGACCTTTTGTTTCTTGTTGCCATTTTATGAACAATCCTTTCTGATATTGATCTTGGACATGCTTGAATAGATCTAAGAGACTCTGCAAAAGGGTTGTTCAGTATTTAGGTACTGTAGTACAAAGAATTAAAATGAAAATTCAGCAAATTATGAATTACCTTCATATGATTTGACCCAATTTCACATTAATTATAACCCGTGTTATTTTGGACTAAACTAAAATGATTAAGAATTCCGTTAAAACTAACTCTCAAAATGTCAAAGTTCAATATTCCTAATAAAATAAAATGTCAAAACGATCTTTATACACATACACATTTTATGTTTCATATTTTTATTTCTCTAAGATGAATCAATCTCTATATCTCTTCTCCTTCTCTATGTGCACTAGATAGATTTTTTGATTTGTATCAAAATTTAGAAAGAAAATTTAAAAATGATTGAGGGTAATATTGTCTTTTTATACCAAATTGTTGATCTGTTAGTTGTTGTACTTTGGTCCCAAACCACATGGGTTCACGTGTAGATTTTTAAAGTGTAGGCAGGTAAATTGTTATTGGGTACTAAAACCAGAGGGAGGTATTATATAATATTACCAAGAAAACCCACCCGCAGAAGCAAGTGAAATTACCTGTTTCATGCAACTTCTGTGCACTAATTCTATCCAAAAACAACATTTCTTCATCATATTTTTGGAAAACAGTATATGATTCCCACTTAGGACAGCTTCTCCTTGATGAAGATGAAAATGGATCTTCAGTTCCCGTATCTCTAATGGAGCTTCTCCATTCAGAGGAGCTCTTAGAAGTGGAGCCAACAGTACAAGAGTCACCAAAAATCTCTTCTTTTTCCTTCTCATGAACCAAAAGCTTCTTGGTCTCCAACTTTGGTGGTTGAAAAATTAGAAAATTGTCGTCTCTCGTGAAATTCGTCTCCATCTTCCCGTTTTCAGTTTCTCGTTTCTCACGTTTTTCTGAAACAGCATAAATAATATCTGGTGCAGAAAAGACGATGTAGTTATGCTCATGATGAGTTTGTCTGAATCAGCATAAGCAATATCAGGCATAACAAAGACAATTATAATTCAAATTATAAGTAATGAGTGCAAGAAGAGGGGGATGACTGATGAGTACAATTATAGTACCTTCATGAGTGTCATCATCAGCCATCCGTAAGGTGGGGCCGTTATTATTTGTATCAGTATTGTAGGCAGAATCAGTATCTCTTGTTGGAATCTCTTCTCCAACCACCTCTTCGTCACTATGCTCGGATTCAGCAATAGGAGAGCCATAGACTGACAAATCTTCAGTGCCAAAACTTTCATCTAGCTCTTGTGGCATGGGCTTGGAACGGTCTATCATTTCTCGGGCAATAAATTGATCCGTTTCTATGCTTCTCGTAGGCAAAAATGATAGTGATTCACCACCCTGAATGATGTCAGCTACCAAATGATCTGTCTCCGTCGGCTCACCATGATAATACCCATTGTTTTCCTCTTCTTCTTCGTCGGAAAATACTCCAAACTCATATACATCCTGATTTCTGCACGAAAAGCCACGTACTTTACAGAACATTTGGATTTTAGAACATAGACTAAGTAGGTGGATAGAACAACCACTTCGACTATTGCTCCATGTGGCCTTGCGAGTGTGTTTTGAGTGTTATTGTAAAACATTTATTGTTAAGAAATTAAATTTATTTACCAACGAAAAACACATCAAGAACATAGATATATAGATGAGAGAAAGGGAGAGAGAGAGAGAGAGAGGCTGGTAATACCTTGGGAAAAATTGATAGCCACCAAGATAGTGGAAGAGCTTGGCGAGAAAGATGGAGGTGAGGTAGAAGAAGAGGAAGAGAAGCAAGAAAGAGCTGGAGACATTGTAGAACAACTTAGCTAGAGTTTCTGTGGAACATTGCATTTTCTTAGTTGTTGCTCCAAGATGAGGTCTCTAACGACCCTCTCTTACAAAGCAAAGTGACTAAAAAAAGTGTTTGCTTTCATTGCTTTAATAACTTTTCTTAGTTTCTCACAATGGCCAATAACCTTTATTCAAAATGACTAAGATACCCTATTGTTAATTTAACCTTCATGGTGTATAAATTCTATTATATTTTTTTACAGAAAATCTAAAAAACTTGAATTNTAATATTACCAAGAAAACCCACCCGCAGAAGCAAGTGAAATTACCTGTTTCATGCAACTTCTGTGCACTAATTCTATCCAAAAACAACATTTCTTCATCATATTTTTGGAAAACAGTATATGATTCCCACTTAGGACAGCTTCTCCTTGATGAAGATGAAAATGGATCTTCAGTTCCCGTATCTCTAATGGAGCTTCTCCATTCAGAGGAGCTCTTAGAAGTGGAGCCAACAGTACAAGAGTCACCAAAAATCTCTTCTTTTTCCTTCTCATGAACCAAAAGCTTCTTGGTCTCCAACTTTGGTGGTTGAAAAATTAGAAAATTGTCGTCTCTCGTGAAATTCGTCTCCATCTTCCCGTTTTCAGTTTCTCGTTTCTCACGTTTTTCTGAAACAGCATAAATAATATCTGGTGCAGAAAAGACGATGTAGTTATGCTCATGATGAGTTTGTCTGAATCAGCATAAGCAATATCAGGCATAACAAAGACAATTATAATTCAAATTATAAGTAATGAGTGCAAGAAGAGGGGGATGACTGATGAGTACAATTATAGTACCTTCATGAGTGTCATCATCAGCCATCCGTAAGGTGGGGCCGTTATTATTTGTATCAGTATTGTAGGCAGAATCAGTATCTCTTGTTGGAATCTCTTCTCCAACCACCTCTTCGTCACTATGCTCGGATTCAGCAATAGGAGAGCCATAGACTGACAAATCTTCAGTGCCAAAACTTTCATCTAGCTCTTGTGGCATGGGCTTGGAACGGTCTATCATTTCTCGGGCAATAAATTGATCCGTTTCTATGCTTCTCGTAGGCAAAAATGATAGTGATTCACCACCCTGAATGATGTCAGCTACCAAATGATCTGTCTCCGTCGGCTCACCATGATAATACCCATTGTTTTCCTCTTCTTCTTCGTCGGAAAATACTCCAAACTCATATACATCCTGATTTCTGCACGAAAAGCCACGTACTTTACAGAACATTTGGATTTTAGAACATAGACTAAGTAGGTGGATAGAACAACCACTTCGACTATTGCTCCATGTGGCCTTGCGAGTGTGTTTTGAGTGTTATTGTAAAACATTTATTGTTAAGAAATTAAATTTATTTACCAACGAAAAACACATCAAGAACATAGATATATAGATGAGAGAAAGGGAGAGAGAGAGAGAGAGAGGCTGGTAATACCTTGGGAAAAATTGATAGCCACCAAGATAGTGGAAGAGCTTGGCGAGAAAGATGGAGGTGAGGTAGAAGAAGAGGAAGAGAAGCAAGAAAGAGCTGGAGACATTGTAGAACAACTTAGCTAGAGTTTCTGTGGAACATTGCATTTTCTTAGTTGTTGCTCCAAGATGAGGTCTCTAACGACCCTCTCTTACAAAGCAAAGTGACTAAAAAAAGTGTTTGCTTTCATTGCTTTAATAACTTTTCTTAGTTTCTCACAATGGCCAATAACCTTTATTCAAAATGACTAAGATACCCTATTGTTAATTTAACCTTCATGGTGTATAAATTCTATTATATTTTTTTACAGAAAATCTAAAAAACTTGAATTCATTGGAATTACGTATTTCATCATGTTGGAAGGACAGTTTCAAAAAAAAAAAAAAATCATGTTGGAAGGAAGGCACAAAAGTAGGCTTGAATTTCAGCTTTATTCAGCTGCACTTTGAAAACGATTAAGGTACCGTTTGTTTACATGCTTAAGCATATGTATAGTATAATACATACACAGATATATATTAGTGTATTGCTCATATTAGGAAGCATATAGAGATAACTTCTATCGTTCTAGTCGAATATTCTTTATATTATTGTGTAGCATAGTGTTTGTTGAGTCACTAATTTGCTTTCGTGATAGGATTATGACAAGTTTCCAACAAATATATACATAGGCCTTAAAGAAAAATAAATTATTTCAGATGATAAAAAGGAGCGCTGTCAAATTTGACTGAATTTTAAAGGAATTTTATGCAGTGGTTTAAAGCCAACAAGCATATAGGCTGCTTATTTTATGTGTGTTGCTGTGTATATATCGACGAGAGATCAGGTTTGGACTCAGTTCATGAGTTGAACTTAAATTATCAAAAGACAAATTAGAATTAGTTCATGGTGTCAGTCTAATCCAAAGCCTAAGAGTCCAGGAAGAGTCAATGCACGTGGAGAAACAATCATCAGGATAATCATTACTCCAAGATAGTATCCATCCCTAATTGTAGTTATTATCCCTGATAAATTAGTAGCTTGACCTTTATGTAATCGTCTCAGTTAGGACTCTATGCCTATAAATTGTAAACCCCCTTACACATGGAGTTAGATCTTACACACCTCACCTTAAGTGTACACTTACTCTCTCTCTCTCTCCCTCCTTCCTACTTCCTTGTACTCTTTCATGAATAGAGTTATTCAGCCATCGTTGCCGCCTTCAGTGGTTAGGTCACCGAGATCTAACCACCTAATTTTTGTCTCTGCTATTAATTTCTTCATTATTTGCCTTACATCACATACTTGACTTATTTAATTGTGCATATTCAACTATGTGCATCATCGTATATAAAACAAGACGAGGGGAATGATATGTGATTCAATTTTGAATTAAAAATAGTTTGTATTTAATTTAAAATGTGCATTTCCTGGTCGAAAAGAAGGATCAAACCTATCCAAAAACATTTAAACCTCAATAAAAACAAAAATAAAAAGAAGAGAACAAAAACATCCAACAGGCATCTGTGAAAATATGTGACTTGCACTTTACAAAATTATTTCATTAGTATCCTATGAGAGATTCTTTTAAAAGTAACATTGGTCCACTTTAAAAGATTTGTGGACTAGTATTAAAAAGTAGATAAAGGTGTATTGGTCGAGTTTAGCGGAAATCTCTGTGCATGCCAGTCGAATAATTTGATCTAAAGCAGTTGCACGATGAGAATCAAGTGGTGAAGATTTGATCATTTCATCTGTGAAGTTAATGGGCTTAAGAGTCGAATAATTTAATGATTGAATCTTGACCGTTTGATTTTATTATACAATTGCTTGTGGTCGAAATCAAGTTCATTCTTTGCCTCTTAAAGGAAGAAAGGGTGTTTATAACAGTTTAGGGGTCTTTTGGCACTCTAGGCTTCTCATATGAATCTTTCCTGGTAGTTCTTGTCTTTAATTTGGCCACTAAGGTTTGTCCAGGTTATGCTTTCCACTATGATTCAGTTCTTTGTGGGCAAGTATCCTAATCAGTGTATAGTGCATTATGCAATAACCCTAAAATAATTGTCTACTTTACAGAAGTCAACCACTCAAATCTTTCCCAACTGTCGGCTGTATGAAGAACTCAATAATTCCAATCAATGCATTGAAATTTTTCTATGACCAGGGAGGGATTAGAAGGCTTCTTAGGTGCTATTTGATAAAACTAAAAACTGAATACTGAAAACTAAATCCTGAATTTTAAGTGTTTAATGTTGAATTTTTAATTTGCGAACTATTTGGTATGCACTAAAATTTAAATACTGAAATTAAACTGTTTGATAAGTACATAGAGCTGACGTTTGAAAATAAATTAATTTTTAATTTTATCCTTCCACTCTTTACTTTGAAATTATTTATAAAATATGTATTTATCTAATAAAAACACACGAAGTATCATTAAATTAATTCATGATATAAATCATAATCACTACTATCACATTTTAGTCAATCTCAATTTTGTCGTGTGTTTTATTGATCACAAATAAGTGGGACATATGATAATATACTATTAGTGAGAGATAAAAAAAAATAACAACTGTAGCATGCAAAGTTGAAGGTTCTAACATTATAAAGCATTCAATAGATAAAGAAATAACAAATTGACCAACGAAAGAATTGAACAATAAACATACTAAAACATATACAAATAGAACAAATAAAAGACTTGAACAATAATAAAAAAATAAAGGACTGCGTGCAGATCTGTGTGTGACTATGTGTGCCAATGTAGGCGAATTTGTGTATGATTTTGTGTGTGTGTATCTGTGATAGAGTGTATGTATGACAGAGTGTATATATGTATCTTTTGTGAATCTGTGCGTTTGTGGGATGGAGCGTGTATATGTTTGTTGGAGGCATTTGACTGAGACGATGAATAAGATAGACAAATTAGGAGTTTAGGGAAGGAAAGACTAGTTAGAGTTTGAAAAGGGTTGAGAAAATATTTTAGGGTAAAATTGTCATATTTAAAAAATTGTAAAAACTACTTTAGTTGATTAGCTTCAACTTTTAGAATTACGTAAATGATTTCTTACTAAATATTTTAGCCTATTAAGCGATCTTAATTTTATTATCAAATGAGCTTAATTAATAAGTGCCTAATAAATTTATTTTAGGGAAAATTGTGAAAAGGTACACTATACACTAATTATTTGTGAGAAAGTACCTTAATATAAATATTTTGTATATAAGTTATTTTTTGTGTAAATGTTTTGTGAAAAGATACATTTTTGGCTTTTTTTTAAATATTTTATTTATGTAAAATTCCATTTCTTTTATTCATGGAAGTAATTTAGGTGGCTAATTGTGGGATTCAGTTTCTTATTTTATTGGGACAATTTTCTTATTTCTTTGATTCTATTTTAATGGCTAAGTGGTTTCATAAATTAAAGGATAATTAACCGTTTGAATTTTGAAAGGATTCTACTAATTTTAAAAATATTTCATATTCTCTCTATATTTGACTCTCACTCTTAATTCCCTATTTTATCTTTCTTTTTTTTTCTCTCTCTCCCCGTCTCCCTCTCCCTTTTTTTCTCTCCATATTATCTCCCCTTTATTTTCTCTCTGTTTATGCAGTGTTACATTTAAGTCACATTGTGTGATACCCACCCTGTGCAAAACACTGCATATAATGTTTGTTTTGCAGTGTGACATTGGAGTCACACTTTTGATGCACATAGCATGAACAACAATGTATATGATGTGTAGCTGCATTGTGATATTGGATTCGTACTGTGATACTCACATGTGTTTTTGAATCTTTATGTGATATGTGTATAAGTGTTATATTGGAGTCACAGTGTGATACCATCCATATACAAATCCCGTTTATGGTGTCTATATGCACTATAACATTAATGTCACATTTATAATGCCCACAGTGTGTCAATCCCTAGGTCACACTATAGTATTTTTCATGTGCCAAAACCTGCATATGTTGTATATATATAGTGGACATTGATGTCACATTATAATGTCCACAGTGACCCAACTCTACATTTGTATTTTATGAGAAGTGTGACATTGGCATCACAGTATATGTGCTACAATTTTGTTGTCACAATATATATATATATACTAGCACAGATGAATGAAGATCAAGATCGATCTTACTACACAGTTTTTATTTAGTGACATAAACATAAATGATTATTATTGTTACACTAGTTATAACCCGTGCCTAAAGACACGATAAAATATAAAATTCGAGCATTTAAAAAATCGATACCACTATATTAATATTTTTCAAAATACATTAATTACAAATTAATCAAATATTGATTATTAAATATATGATAGAAATGAGTAAAATGATATTTTTAAGGAAGAAATATATAAATAATTAAATAGGTGATAAAAATGAGTGATGCGATTTGACATTTGAGTTTGACAAAAAGATGATGGGTGAGGTAACTGATTAGTGATCGTTTTGAGGGAGAAAATATGATTGAGACAAAATTCAAACACACTTCTGTTTTATTATATATATATATATATATATATATATATATATATATATACATACATATACATATAGAGAGAGAGAGAGAAATAGTCCTTATCTTAGAAAGTATTTAAAATTAAAGAATTTTAATTTTGTGGTAGCTTTATTTTGGTCATAATTATATATATATATATATATATATATATATATATATGTATAGGAGAGAGAGAGAGAGAGAACGAAATGGTTCTAATATAAGAAAATCCTAAAATTTAAGAATTTTAGAAAGAATTGAGAAAGATTTCAAATTAATTTATTTACGTTTTGAATTTAGTTATGTATATGTGTGTGTGTGTATGAAATATAAAGAGAGAGAAAGAGAAAGAGTTCTAATATAAAAAACTCTAAAATTTCTGAGTTTTAGTTTTTAAATTAATTGGTTTTCTTATATGATTTTTTCAATAGCGATGTGATGATATTAGGTGTACTTTGGCCCTTTCTGCTCAAAAGTGTACTTTTTACCAATTATTTTTTAAGTTTGTACTTAAAATCAAATAAGTTATAAAAAGTGTACCGGCTTCCAACAGACCCTTCATTTTAAGTATTGAGTTTGAGTTAACAAACACACTTTTAGTAGTTGCT